GAAATACATACGAAAGCAATTCAAATGAACTTTACTTTCAATTCAAGCGGCAAAATTTGAAATTGTTCGTTAAACTTACCATTCGTACATCCCCATGCGACCATTTCTTCCAGCAATTCAAACACTACAACTAGTGTTCGAATTCCCCTCGTCGATTCCACCGTAAGAAATAACCTGTGCCACTCAAGCTTCGACTCGAATGTGAAGTACGAATCAAATAACATCACTGCTTCATCTTCGAGGCAATATCACGCTGGTATTTTGATTTTCGGATCGACAAGAACGGTGATCAGGTGGTGATTGCCATGTTTACCTCATAAACGTGACTGCTGACCAGCCGCTGAGTGAAAACAGTATAGCGCGGGGTAGGGTGGGTGGGGGGCTTATCGTCATAAGATATTCGAATACATGCTTAAAAAGCTTTAGGACTCTCAGTCTAAACAGTGAAGGCATGCTTCGTGGTACCGTCACCTTTTATTTTATTCTCATAACTTTCTCCTTTAAATTAGAACTGTTATTAATTAATAGAGTTATCAATATATTTTTAACCGGGGTACCCATATGACCTTTTCGCTTGTCATCAGTGGTGTAAAATAAGGTGTCTTTTCCACCAGAACCTTCTATTTATGTCCCATTGCATGGAATAAACACTATACTTAGAATGTTTGTTCTAAGTCATTTTTGCTTTTCCCAAGAATGTATGTAAAATGATAGAGATTTTATTCATTCAGCTGACACGTTCTTTTATGTTATGGCGCGTGCAGGTTTTTTCTATCAAAAGTCGTGCGCGCAACACACCGGAATTGAAAATTCGTCGTAAAATCGCACGAACCTTAGAATGGGTGTAGGCAACTTTGACTTCTGGCAAGATGAAGTGGATAGTTCAAAGGACCCCCTGAGATTTTTTTTTTTCAGGACTATAAATGAGATTTGTTTATAACTATAGTAATCGTTATTATAAGCGGACGGTGCTTTTTACCCATTGTTGTCATCATTATCGTTATCATGCCGGAAGAAGTATAAAGCCGGCACGTTGCCTTACCTAACTACACAGAAAATTGTTCCCTCTTTTGTTCCCCATGGATCCTAGAAACTGTTATTATTAAGACGATCAACAGGGAAGCCTTTATAATTACTGAAACTTTTGATTAACGGAATGGAAGAAAAAATCGGTGGAGAGAGTAATTCGCGTATCTTATAATCTGAATGATAGTTTTCAATAAAACAAATACCAATTAATTCAATTTACCTTAGTTGTCTCGTGTTTAAAAGTGGCGTTTCTGGTGACCGTAGATTCTTCTCTGATTCTTCTTGTCTCAGCCAAGACTCACTACCATTAACTTTCTTCTTGTGCTTCTTACGGCATAGGACACACAGAGATGAGGTAAGCGATTGCAAATTTCTTAGTTAAAGTAAAGCCCAGTAGCATCCATCAGGAATTGAAAACCGACATGCACTCTTTATTTTTGTTTATTGAAAACTATCATTCAGATTATAAGATACACAAATTAGGGCAGATAGTCAGCTGAAATATCGACTCTGAACTTTACGTGTCCGATTTTTATGAGGAGGATACTAGCATTTACGAACCGGAAGGTCTGAATCTCACGCCTAGTGGTGCACGATATTTGAGGGACATCGTGAGATTGCGGCCTTCGTAATCTTCAATTAAGCCAATACGGGCTAGAATAAACTTCTTCTCTGTCAAAACACATGTTTGGGATACATTGACATCCTTCAAGTGTTCTTTAATGCTGTTCACCCACGAATTTAGAGTTGTTGCAGTCCTGGCCAGCGCGAGAAAAGTAACATTTGGTTATACAGTTAGTTGCAAAGGAACAAGATAATTGCACCATCTTGACTTTCTATTCAAGTTGTAGGTTGAATTGGGGGTTTTTTAGACGCTCGCAGACTTATATTGCATACATAACATACATATACAACCGATAGACGTACATTACATGGGACCAACAAAGTCTGTTGCGCTGTTGCGAGAGGGAGGAAAATATTACCAGAAGTGCAAACTCTTTGACAGTTACATGACTTTTCAGAGTTGTCTATCTCCGGCTGTCAAAAAACTTGACCCCCTCTTAAATTTACTTGGAAAATTAAACTTACAACTCCTTGCTGAATAAATTGAAATTACGAATTTAAGAGATTTTATGTTGGGTCCAAATAAACTATCCAAGTGATGAGTAGTGATTTTAGATATATCAAATTCATATATTTGCATTTGGCTCCGAGTTTGCTTGTTAGCTCAGTTGGTAGAGCGCTGCACTGGTATCGCAAAGGTCATGGGTTCAAATCCCGTACGGGCCTGAATTTTTTTTCAGGTCCTATTTTCAACTACTAGTAGTGTTCTTAGCTGCGAGGATCTCTTAAATTCGTTTCTACACCGCAGTGCAAATACATGAATTTCATATATCTAAAATCATTTAGTTGAAATTAGTTTGATGGATACGCCGGTTCTTTCAATTTTGCTATTTTGACTACACTAGACATTCCATGTGAAAAGTTTATTTAGGATGAGTCAGTCAGTCTACTAGTATACGCATCCTGATACAACCTCAACATGTGCATCCTGAAACTAAGGGTCTACAAAACGAACCTGTGTTACGCCAGATACGAAAAACTACTGAAACCCCCCCCCACCTCATGTTTCATGGTGCTCAATCAGGAGGTCACCTCGCCGCATCGTCGGCAATTATCGCCGGCCAGAGTCAAGACGCGTTAAGCTAAGTGACCTCGTCCTTGACTAAAATAATTTTGCAAATGTAATAATAAGTGTCGAGAGCGCGAGGAAAGGCATAATTTTCAATGCTACGATCAAAGCGTAATGATGGTCCTTAATTGATACTGTTTTTGACGAAACAAACTAGTGAGCATCACTGCACGAACTGTGAAAGTAAAAACTTGTATTTATCTCCCACACGTTTTGTCTGACAATAGCAGACTTCATCAAGGAGTTTTACAAGGGAAATAAGGAGGAGAGGTAGGGGAAATAAGCTTGCTTAAATACAAGTAGTAAATAAGTTGTCTCTTTTCGGTTAAAGCAAGCAGAAAGAATTCAGCAGGTGTGCCTTAGGTGTTGTATATGCGTGACATTTTTCGGACACTACATGTACGAGTATGTGATCTGTTTGAGGGTCACAAATTAAGTGTAAATATCTGATCCCTCAATACATTACATACTCGTTTATGTAACCTCTCCAGTTTTGCATAGGTCTTAGAGTGCTTCATTGCATGGATCTGCCTTCTGCAGCTAGAAGGCTAAAAGCGAATTTCTCGAGCGTAATTCCTTTTGATTATTTTAAACACATTTTTGAGAGTCACGAAACGTAAAACTTATTGGGACCTAGTTTCAAGTTTTAATTGTAATTAATAAAACACATTCTCTTGGGAAATAAAGTTGTAAATAACAGTTGTTCTTTGAAACAATTAGTAGCCGAAAGAGTTTTAGTTCTGGTCGATATTGACTTTTCATTATCCTACTTCCAAATCTGAGGGAACGCGCTGATCATGAGGGAATAAAAAAAAAACATACATATATGATATTGCAAGAAAGATAAAAAAAAATGTAATTAAAGAAAAAGGATTTAATGTTAATTAATTGAGAAGAATTTTTTTACACTCTTCTTTTAAACAGACGATAATACAATGCAAAGACCCAGAGTTTATACCCAGTCTCTTAGTTTAATATTACAACAATATTCTGATAAACTTTATTAATGTCTTCATCACTTATTCAAATACTTCGTTTGAAAAAAACCAAGAATTAAGAGACCTTACATCTTCAAAACTTCCAAAAAAACCAGTTAAACTTGTCAGTTACGAGAATGATTACAGAAAGAATTGGACTCACTCGGTCCCGTTACCATTATTTATAAAACGCTAAACCATGTGCTAAAGTAACCCCAGTTTATGAAACGTTCAGCCATTACGCTAACTGATAGGTTTTTGACCTGGTGAACAGAGAGATGTTATGAAACCCTGTTGCGTTCAGATTGGGCTTGAATATATCCTTAATTACATATTTACACTCGGCCACGAGTGCTATAAAAGGACTATACTTGTCAAATCAACCTCCCAAACTAACTGAATCATAAGTTTATTTCAGCAAAATAATGCCAGAAATCAAAACGACTCTTTCGCTAATTTTTCTATTCCGAGAAGTACGCGATCCCTTTCTTGCATAAGTTGCGAGTAATTGTGAAAGACCGTCAGTAAATTCCAGTAACTTTTTTCTTTTAGAATAAAATGTAGTTTCGGAAAATATTGTCTTCCAGAAACCGATTTTATCCAGACCAAGAAGGAAGCAGTTCCGGTAACCACTGCAAGACCAAATGGTAGGACTATGAAAACAAATTACACAATTATTAGATAAAAAATTGACCTTTTTCCAATTCTAGATTTGAAATTTCTGTTTGCTTGTTCTATGTTATTTAGACTGTGTCATCAAGAAAGAATTTTGAATTTCAGAAAAGTTTATCCTAGTTGTTACCCTATTGTCACAAATAATAAAAAGTCCAAAACGAAACAGTCTCGGGAGATAACTTTAGCGTCTTAAATTAAAGAGCTGAGCACCAGAGAATTCCTCTTCTAGAATGAGGGGGGATGCTCTTTATATTTTAATCCTCTTATGTTCTGTGTAACACTCATGTAAAGGAATTTATAAGGTTCTCTCTCAATTAAAAACCTGGAACTTTCAATTTGATGATAAAGCATCCTTGTGGGCTCGTTTGTTTTAATGAAATGACAACAAATTTTTCAGTTTCATTTTTTATCTGTACAAAAAAGGAGTCTGCAGGGAAATAAAATCATTTGTGACACAGTGAAGAAAGATCAAAGAAACTGGAGTCTATAATGAGAATTACAAAAATGACCTTGGTCCTTACATGTAATATCAGTTAACTTGTCGATCCAGTGTTTTATCAAGGAAATATGAGAACGTAACCAAAAAACAGTGAAATTAGCTATATTGCTTTCAATTGGTAAGAACTCTAACGCTTCATTCGTTCTTTCAATTTCTTATTGAATTGAATTTCTTGGACGTCATACTCTGTCTGTGCCCTCTGCAAATCACTCTGGACCCTTGCAAGCTGTTCATCGAGCCTTTTGCCAAAGGAATTTATGTAGGTATAAATGAAAAGGGTTAAACTCGCCGCTCCAAACGCACCTCCGATCCCAAGTAAAGCGAGATTCGCTGTTTCCAACTCACCTAGACGTTCACTAAAGTTCTTAACGGCTCCGGTTTGGTTGGCAGTTGGAAAATTCACATTCAACGCAACTAGGATGTATTAAAATGAAGTTAAATCAATCTGAAAATATTCCAGAAATTACGTAGAATGCCAAAAATGAAGGGGAAATCTGAGCAAGGGATACTCAAAATCATTTCTGTGATTAACAAATAGATTCCATGTTGGCGGGCGTCTGTTTTGTTGTTTTAGAAGCAAAAAAACAGTTAATAATGACATCATCAATGTGTCTGTCCTCCAGTGGATGGTAAGGAAGGGCCAAACAAAATGTGCATCTAATTTAGCCTATTATATAGAGTAATGTTAATGGTTTGCAGCGCGGTGAAGCAGATTCCAAGTTACAACAAAAAGACAGCCAATTAAACCTCTAGAAACGAAACACGAAAAGCGAATAAAATATAAATAAGTAAATAATACATACAGGTGAACTGCAAAGTATATTTAATGTCTTCATGAATTACTGTTTTAAAATATTTTTTTAGGCGACCTGTCTATCATGAAACATACACATTTATTATGGGAAATCTTTTGGAGTGACAAGGCTTTGGTTCCTTCTGAAATTTTATTCGCTCGAGCTCTACACAATGAGGCCGAACAGAAGCCATTTTTCCTGAAGGACTTGTGTTTTTCTGGCAAATTCGGGCCCCCAATGTCATTTCACAATTCTAGCTGCCAAGACTAATTTCAAAACGGCCATAAGATCTTGAGAAAACTCTAAACCTTGGTGAGATGAATGGCACCACGTTCAGGTTAAGAAAAACAAAAGATTTTAAGCTCAATACGTTGGTCACCAGAAATTATGCATGTACTAACCTCCACCAATCGTTAAAACGGCAAGACATCCAGTTGAAATGGCAGCAACACTAACTTGATGGCTCCACCTTTCTGCATCTATATCTGCCTTGAGCTGGTTGAAAGCCTGATAAGCACTGTCCAAGTATTTCTTACTCATCTCCAGGTTGTATCCCATATCTTCAACATCCATTTGCAAAGTACGAATATCTTCATCAGGGATTCCCTTGAAATTTGCGCGTTTTGCCTCACGTACCTGTAGGATAGTTAAAAACTGTCAATATTCACAAGTAATCCCATACTGAAAACGTAGTTTAAATTACCTGAGGATAATTTCAAAGTCCGCTCTACAGGAACCATATGTTATACCCATGAGCGTCAGCCGTGTGGGTGAGAATTTTTTGTGTTCATAGCCATATCATTGAATCACACTCTGCCCTGCCTACAAAAGTTCAAATTATCACAAATTTATAACACAAGTGAGATGATTGCGGTTTTGTTGCTTGACAAGATCGGAAGAATGTAATTGTATATCAGGTGCTATTATCAGCTGTTACCAAGGCAACGTGAACGTTGATTCGTACATTCTGGCCTAAAATAATAGCACATTATGGACTTGCATATGAATATGCATAAAAAATATTTACACAACTGGTCCTTCAATTCTTCTTTTATGCCTCCAGATGCTATTGATTTCAGTTCAACAGAGATAATGGATTTCTTAAGATAGGAACCTTCGTGGGTTAAGCTATATATTCCTAGATTTGGAGCTCACAATGTACAAGCGTTCCCGAGTCAGCCGAATTGAAGTTGACTTTTAAGGTGTACCCCATGGATCCAAGAGTAGGTGAAATAAACCAAAAATAGAAATCATTAATTGAGTAAACTGGTTACATTCTGAGAGGAATGAGGAGATAGGAATGAGGCCCGATAGTATAAAATATTCAGAGACGACAAACATGATTATTGAATATGATCCCAACGGTAATTAAGTGAATTCTCACCTTTTCTATTAGGGAATGTATTATTTTGTCGGTCCCCTTCAAAATATCTTGGCATTTTTTCAAGTATTCAGTTATCTCGTCGACCTTTGTTTGCATGTGTGATGGAAGTTTACTTGTTTCATCTGCTTTCTGTTGGGTTTCTACCTCATTGAAAAAACTTGAGTGACAAGCCATTGTCATTGTCAGCCTCATCCAATCACCAAAAAGAAGTGTTTTGCAAAGGTTTCTCGCAAGCTCTGGCCACTCCTGGTCGACGCCTACGACTGCATCTTGGATCAAGCTGGATAAAATTAGCACGACTTCGTTAAAGTTTTTCAGTCGCTGATTGACTTCTGGAGTGCTAGCGTCAGCTTCTTCCATAAACCGTCTTACAGATTCCAAACTGATCTGGCAAGTATTTAAGAAGGTATCCATCGTATCAAAACTTCACGACCTATCGAGAGACCATAAAGCAAGCTAAGGTAAATAACAAGTCCCTTCCTTGAAGTAAAGTTGCAACCCATTTCGCCGGAATACTAGTCAACTTAAAGCTCTCAATTACAACGCTCAATTACATCTCAAGTACACAAAGTAAATCTATAACATATATAGAATCTCTTGGTGATAGAAATATATAGGATGATAAGGATGTTTATCATATGACCTGTCCGGCCCCGCCGGGCTTGTGCTGCTTTGTTGCAAAAAAGAAGAAAAGAAAAAGGAACATTTTTTCGCTTCTGTTGAGTGACGGCGGTAAGCAAAAATTAGAAAATAATTCACGTTTTTCGATAAGTTGTGTTTTCTCGTTCCGACTCGACTCCCTACTAAAGTAAAAAAAAGTGTGCGAATCGTTCAAAAATTAGTCAGTGGTCATATGATAAAATGCATATTGACTCAAGTGGTTAAGGTCGGGTCGGAAGGGAACATATTTGGCTCGAGGTCATGATGCACGAATCTCGCTGCACCCGGTCCGTGCGTCACGTACTCGAGCCAAATATGTTCCCATCCGGCCCTTCCACTCAGTCAATAAGTACACAATATATTCGTATGTAGGATGATACCGTAAAATTCCGAAAATAAGCCCCTTCATGTTTAAGCCCTTCTGTATAGAAGCCCCCCAAATCTGAAACGCAAAAATACCTCCTGTAATAAGCCCCGCCGAACATAAGCCCCCGCGGGCTTGTATTTAGAAATTATCCTCAGTTAAACAAACCAAAGCAAACCACACATAATCACCATTATCAGGAAGCCTTTTTTCGGTCATAAAAGAATGATAACTTGCACCAAAGCAATGTGGTCAACAAGTGCTAAAGTTTATTGTCTTTTACGCAGTTCGTTCTTCACTCGCGCGTTGAATTTCTTCGGTTCGTAGACAAAGTATTTACAAGGGAGTTCGATCCCGCTACCCTGCACCTTAACTCTCTCTGATGCTCCTCAAACAATATGAGCTTTCATAGTTATCATGAACTTTGAGTCTGAACTATGTTACCGTTTTTACTGTATTTACGTCTTAATAAAGTTTCTTGCCGTTGTGTTTGAACTTGGCATTTTCAGTGTGATTAATTTGTTACGAATTTCTAGCCAGAACCCTAGTATTACTAGTTGCACATTAAAAAATTTTGACACAAATTTCCCTCCAATTATAGGCCCAACCAATTTTGAGACGCAAATTTCCCTCCTATAATAAGCCCCTTCCAAAAATAAGCCCCCCGAAAAGGTCCTTTGAAAAATATGAGACCCGGGGCTTATTTTCGGAATTTTACGGTATGTATATATTCATACATACATATATTTTTATTCTCGTTTTCAAAAAAATATTGAATACATAAACCTTTTCTTTTGTCATCAAAAAGAGACACTTTAAGGTGTAAGTTTATATATTTACTGCGTATTTTGAAATTGCAACGTTTTTGAAAATGATTATGTAGGTATCTATATATAAAGAAAATTTCTAATAAACCCAATAAAGCTCAATTCAAAGCAAGACTAATGGACACCAAGCGACAGGCGGGTTTAAAATGGTGCTCTGAAAGTGGACATTCTCCTAAGAAAAGTTTGAACAATTTGGCGTGATTCAGATGGAAACTCTATTTCCACGAGAAATTTTATATGGGAAATAGCCAAAGAAGATCACAATCTATCATTGCTGACCAGCTTTCACTTTGATTCCTTTAAGTATTTGTATCGTGCAAATGAAATCAATATCTGAGAGAGAGAGAAAGCCAGACATTTTTCACCACATAATGGTTTACAAATTTCATTGTGACCTGAGTAAAACAGGATTATTCACATTCCGACAATCAAACTACACGATCAGAGCTTACTCCTGGGCTAAAACCATTGAATGTCAAAGAGCTATTGGTTGATTATGATCATGGCTAATATAATACGTCATACACTGGTGCAACACAAAATGGCGCCCTCGGAATATTCAAGCATCAATAATTCTCGTATTTATTTCTAGCTTTGGTTCTAGTTTTCCAATTTTCTATCGAATCTTCATAGTGTAAGGCATTTTCATCAGTTAAAAGCCGGGCAACTTATAAAGGATAATTTTCTTCCAATAAGACTCTTTGTTACTTCGATTTAGAGGGCCGCGCACGTCATCATAGTGTGTTGTAGAGAGTTATTAGGATGAGGCTTGCGTGAGAAAGGTCCAAAGATAACATTAATCAACCTTCCCCCAACATTTTCGAGACGATCAATCAATGAGAGTGAAATAGCTTTTTAAGTTGTTTTCCCAGAGAACAAACATATCAAGTTTTCCATCTTTGATCATTTTAAAGTTCAGTTTTAAGTTACAGTTGTGTTTTCTTCTTGATTATTCGTCCTAAGATTATCTAAGTAGACTCAGCAAATCTGACCAGGATCCAGGTTCCAAAGCCGTAGATCTTACAATCTACCGTCAGTAACTCGGAGTTTTAAATCTACCTGTAATTTAAAAAGTAGCAGCTTTCGCTTTGGCCTTAATTAAAACATCCCTAGATCTTTTCCGAGAAAAAATCTAGTTAAAAGTCATCTTCCGGTGCTTTTTAAGTCTATTTTGCATATTCATATGAAGAGGCTTAACTCGACATCGGCTGAACATTTTCGGAACACGATTTTTGTTCTATTTCTTCATCACCCAGATCTGGATTTTGCTTAATTCTGCTCGTTTCGAGTGTAAATGCGCAATTATAATGACATGATCGTATGCTAAACCTGTCGGAACCAGGGCAAATTTTGAAATACGAAATGTCTCTGTACATTTACGCTACTCCCTTGCTAGCGCATTTGTTCAAAGACATCCAACTCATATCACACTGTTTCAGTCCGAAAAAGCGATCGATCGGGAAAAGAGTTCTTATAATTGTTTTGATGCCTTTATTTGCAAGCACTCTGTGATGATGTATCGTTTTCTTGGAAACTCCGTAAAAATGCTCTTAAAATAGCTCTGCTACTTAAATTTAAGTTGCAGAGTGCATGGAAATAAAGATATAAAAACAATTGTGCGTTTCGTAAAACCACTCTTCTCATCGAAGCTATGATTATATGTTAATCAAAGTGTTTTACCAACAAATGGCAAAGGGTTACTTCATGTTAATGAAAAGGACTGCATAAAAATGTGAAAAGAGTGCAGTATTACTGCACTCTTTTCACATTTTCATGTCTATTGGCTATTTTCTGAGAAACGTTTCTGAAAGTCGTAGAAGTTTCGTTCTTATGAAATAGGTCACGTTCTTGATCAGTATAACTATCGTAGTGATACTTGCAGAAAGTTTTGCCGCAATTATCCCATCGGAAAACTACCTCAGTACAAGTTATTTTACGTGCTTTGTTCTTAGCCAAAAGAAATACCATTCAGGTCATATGGTGGTCTCCTATGTATAAATGTCAAGATAGTTGACTGCTAACAACCCAACGATAAATATAAAGAGCGAAACAACTCAGTCTTGCATTTGAAGGAAACAAAGTTTGTCACCACAAGAGAAAGCTCTGTTATAACTCCTTATACTTTTGGAAAAGAAATAAACCGATGAAACATGTCTTTTGAAAGTTTATGCATATTTTTTACTCTCAAATCTTTTACTGAATGACAAGACCCCTACAATTCTTTCAATATTTTCAAGAAACAAAACTTGTTAAAAGTCCTCTGGTGCTTTTCAGCTTTGTCAGTCCTTTTAGCATGTCCGCATGAAGGTGCTTGACTCGATATGAGGATTTTTGTACTATTTCTTACCCACCCATGATAATGGTGGTCGTGATCTTCGTGCGTAGATGCGTGATTATAGTATTTGAAATGATATAACCTATACACTAAACCTGTCGGAACCTAGCGAAATTTCCTCACGCTGAGCATTAAAACAATATGTTTTATAAATCTTTACATTTAAAACGAAACAAGCGATCAATCTAAATCGTGTCAGCAGCAGAGAAACTTAATTCGAATAACGAAGAGAGCTCGGGTGTGCCAGCTAGTAATCGATGTGTAGTGCCGAAAGCCAACCAAACGAAAACTCTGCCTTAAATGATTAGATACTCTGGAAGACATAGAATGACTTACCAGAAATAATGTAAGAGCAGGAGGACGAAGGGAAGCTGAATGAAGTTTGAACAGCTAGGAAATGAATTTCCACCTTTAAAGCAACCCAAAAACGCTTTGTTGTTCTATTTGGAAGCCTTCTCCTCCCGCAGCTGTCTCAGTCTCAAGACTCCCAGAACCCAGCAGTAAGGGTAATCTTTTTCCAATAAGACTCAGTGTAATTGTAGAAGGCCATTAGGGTATGTCTAAAGATTAGATTGGTCTAAAGGTAAACATTAACTTCTTAGCGTTCAGGTTCTCAAAAACATCATTCATTATTTATTAACAAGATAATGGAGTCAGTAACCTAACTCCATTTAAAGTAACAAACGAAGTTAAAATAATAATGTTTCAGTATAAAGTGATTCATAATGTGCTTCGTGCTTTAAAAAAAAAATAATAAAATTAAAAAAAAACCTAACTCCAATGCCTGGGAAGGTTTAAAATGTTTTCTTCCTTAGAACGAAACCAAACGAAGTGATTATCACTTCCTATCTGAGGGTCTGGATGGGGTTTAGTGTCAAGTGTTATTTGGCCGTTTTTTTTAATGTTTAGTGTTAAAATGGGTAAAATTTTAATGTTAAGCGTTTAAAAAAAGTTTAGTGTTAAGTGTTAAAAGGTATTAGAACAGCGATTTCACTCAATAAAGGTCAATAAAAGTTTTGCAGAGAAAGCAATAATATTAGAAAAAAGGACTAAGATTTGTTCAAACTTAGCTCTTATGATAAAGGCGTGCAAACTAGAAACAAAAAGGAGAAGAGTCTGCGCAGAACTAACCGAACTGGTCAGCATGCATACTTTGTACTCATGCGCATAAGTTCTGTAGACATTCTGTGGTCAGCGGTTTTCAGCAGACTTCTGCATGCAAAATGGCCGCCTCGTCCGCATCGGCGGGAATTGCGGAAGTATTGATCAGCTTTTATAGATGTGGCGAGGAAGATGCTTTTGAGAGACATCGCAGTAGAATTCCAATCGGTAAAGACCAAAGAAATCTAACGGACGCCAGGAAGCATATGATCAACTTTCTTGGTATTTCGCAAATGGCTACGTCGCTGGGTATGGGAAATTTCGAGCTGAAACTGTACCGGCTGGCCAGGAGTGCTCACGGGAAAACGAAGAATTTACCTATCCTTACGCAACAACAGTGGGAGATGGAAGTGCCACTCCTTGTTTCTGACGAAACCCAAAGTGAACTCAATAGTAAGTAGACAACTGATCTGTCGAATTCATAAAGTGCAGGAAAAAGTTTTGAACTAATGATAAATATAACCACAACATATGTATTAGAAAATTGGGGGTTACAAATTATCCTTATTCGATCTTAGAAAAGGATAATTACTTTGAAGGTTATAAGTATGAAATACTAAAGTAAAATTTCCTCTTTTTCATCTTTTTTAAGTACATGTGGTACAGAAAATAATTAATTGGTCAGACAAGAAAATGGTGCTTGTACCGGGTGTGAAACAAACTCCTAAAGAACCTCTTGGTACTTCAACAAGTTCTTCAGAAGATAAAGATCCAGAAATTGCCATCATAGACAATGAGCCTGGAGCATCAGATTCTGCGAGAAATAGAAGTAGGAAAAGAAGACAAGAATGTCTGGAAGATAAAGAACTAGTTCAAAATATTTTGCGAGACAATAAAGTTGTGAGAAATGTGCGTCAGAGGCATGAATTAGATGAGCTTCAAGCAGGTAAATTTTAATGAAATAGGTGGTTTTGAATTTCTACTTTTACTTGTACTTTTACCTTTACTTATGTGTTTACTTTTATCTCGCTTAGACTTAGGGAAGCTTGCTGGAAGCTCAGCTCTTAATGAGGTGAAATTTACTTGTGGAGTCTGCAAGAAACCGTATTTTATCAGTACTAAGTCCAGCAGAACCACCCAAGGGAAGGTCAATTACTTCAAAATCAGTAAGTTTAAACAAATATTTTTAATTTACCAATATCATTACTGCAGATCACATGTTTCAGTACTCAGAATAAGAAAAAAAATAATAATTCCGAGTGTATTTAGGTGATAGTAACTCTGGTCTTTTTGTATTCAGCTGATCTTCTAAAAGACTAATGAATGTTTATAATTAAGTTGAACTTCCCTTATCACTTTTTCAATAATCCCCATGGTGGAGAAATGTAAACCTAGGAATACACTGTTCACCTTTGCTAAAAATTTGTCCTTTGTAGCACATTTCAATAAGTGCCAAAGAAATTACGAGAAAGCACAGCGTTTAGTGAAAAACAACCACACCCTGGATAGCCTTTGGAAAAAAGGAAATTGTGAACGACTTTCTTCAGCATCAAGCAGCAATTCCATGTCACAAGATGAGCAGGAGGACTTTACTGGTGCTGATGCCATAGAAACAGGCTCTGACAAGTAAAAACCTTACTGAAGAATATATTGTATAAAAGAACTTTTTTTTGGATGAAAATCTAGATTATTATAGAACTCATGCATAGACATGTCATTACCATGTACCAATAGATAATATTTGTTGTACACACAAAGATTGTTTAGCTTTTTCCTTAGATCTCAAAACCAATGTCTTTGACCAGCATTTGTAGTACTGCTGATAGAGTCTTAATGCATAGTTTTTGTTGATATTTTGAACTTAATGAAATAAAGCAGTTTATGTTTTTCAAATTGATGTTTGCACGTGTGTTTCATGTGTAAGAAGAAAATCATATTTTGCCAAAATATAATTGCATGGCAGTTAGCAAATAGTGGAACTACTAAAAACAATTGGCATTTGTATCATGATACCAAAAATCCATTACAAAGCTTAATATCTGGAGCATTTGTATCAATTTTAGTGTTTCAGATAATTTTTTAGTGTTAGATGTTAAACAGCCCAAAATTTTAATGTTTGATGTTATAGAAGGTAAAATTTTAGTGTTTAGTGTTTTCGAGATACCCCCATCCAGACCCTCCTATCTGTCCTAACGGAATTTCAAAGCAGAAACACTTAGTAGAATATCTGTTTATTTACGCACATCAAAATGGTCGCATGCAAAACAGTCTCTTACAAGAAACGTAATTTGTTTTAAAAAATCAATTAATGTCTCCAGTTCATTGTTGTTGATGTTCTTTGTTGACCATCACTGTTATTTAAACAGCCTCGATTAAAGGAAAGAAAAAATTCATGACGTGATGTAAACTAATGACTCGCTGCCGAAAAGAGTGTAGTATTCATGGAGTAAAACATTGCTGCGTTGTTATGTCTATTTGCTATTATCTAAGAAATGTTGCTGGAAGCTTATGAAACACTTAAGTGGCGATCTCTGTAAGAACGGTCCAGGGCATTTCGCGTCGGAACAAAGTTTTCCCTCAAACTTTGCCCAATAATCTATCGTTGGTAGCAAGTAAATAAAACCACATTGGTTTCTGGAAATACGTTAAAATAAAATTTTTAGAGCTCTCAATAGTCAAAGCTGCAAAAGGCCCTTTTTTGACCGCTTACGACATCGAAAATTTCAAAAGTTAAAAAGCCCAGTCCTCGAATCACACCGCATGCAGTAAAATGTCTCTTATATCATTAAACTGTGTGATATGTAAGGTTAATAAAAAGCATTTCAATTTTTATATTTGTTTATTCAGAGGTTCGTCATAATTTATTTAAAAACACTCGTTAGACAGCTTTCTGAAATTGGTCAAAAGTACTCCTTTCTTGGTTGATATTGCTCAAGTCCAGACCAGACCATTGGAAACTCCGCTTGATTTCTACTAATAAGATGTTTGGCAGCAGAAAAATATAAAAACATCTTGCACTTATTAATTTTCTTCGCCGTGGTGACTTCAAACTTTTAGCGATTTTGCTAGCGTAACAGCCGATTATGCAAATTAGTTCATTGAGCAAACTCCGACCGTTTTCTAATATATAGATTTAGTCAAGCCTAAAAGCGGAGCTCGCATAAGTAGCCTAGTAAATCTTAGATTTTGACCATTTTAAGTTGAAAATATAGTAGGACAGAGCTCTTAGACCACACAGATTGATACTTTTAGCAATTTAAAAGGCCAAAATTTGACAAATTTCACTATCTTGTGACGAAAGACGTCAACAACAACGTATCGAATATCATAATTTGATTAGCGCTCAGTCAACCCCCTTTAATAGTAATCTCTTTTTTTAAATAATTGTTTGACCTCTGACAGCTTATGCTATTTAACCTGTAGGAACATTCCAGAATCAAACTACAGGATTTTATTGAGTGTAACCGGCGATAACAGCGCATATTAAAATACACCGTGACCAGTGACTCTGTCACGTAATTCAATTGTGTAATCATCTTTAATTACTTCTCCTATCTAAATAAATCAGCGATAACATCGTCTTTTGGCTCAGAATTCTAGTCGGCAGGAATAAGAGAAAATTTTTTCCGCACACCTGTCTTTACGACAGTTCTATTCAGAAATTTAGAGAGTTTTTAGGGAAAGGGACCCCGCGTTTCTAACGAAAATAAATTATTTCGTAACGTGTCACCTCATTTTTCCAACAATTAGCCATATCTATGTTGTAAAGCGCGTAATCTCATTAGCTGTAATCCAATTACCTCTTTCGGTACTGGTTTGCTCTGATTAATAACACTAAATTCATGAAGTAGTATTCGCAATAAGATGTCCAGCTTTCTGTCACATTCCTTAGAAAGCTCGTGCGGAGACTCACGATGAGTTTCCGGTTTGTTTAACTTACTTCAGTGTACTGACACAGTAGAAAGTCATCTCTCCTTAATCCATTTGTTAAAAGAGAGTGTCGCGGAAGGAGAGCTTATCCTAGCAAGGGCTGGCCTGTTCGATGTACAAGACTCAGTTATGGCAAAAATGTTGGTCTGCGCAAAGCATAGGCACACCTATGGGAAGTTCTGGCGCCAAAGATCAGCGTGCCAGTATCCGACACACGCTGGTGGCGATTCCAAGGGGGCAAAGGCCATTTCTAAGATGTATGTCGTTCTCGTTCACGTAGGTTCAGGTAGGAACAAGTGATTTAAAATAAGTGGCTGATTTCAACCAATCTCTCCCGTTTTCTCCCCAATCGCTCGTTCGTATATTAATCCACTTTTTCCTACGTCCAGTTATTTTTATCAACTGCCGCAACAAGCACAATGCTCCTGTGCAAAAAAAAAGGCTTGGGTCTCTTTGGAATCCACAGAGAAAGAAGCCAGTGATTCCTGCGTTTATGTGAGTAAAAGAGTTTGTGCGAATAAATAGCGTTTGATATTGATGCATGCGGTTGTGTACATAAGCTGAGATACATAACCTTTTTCCAATATGAAAATGCTCTACGGACGGTAATTGTTAATAAATAACTTTAGTAATTTATCATAGCTTACTAGAGCCTTGTCTGTATCAAGGATCTCAAGGTAGTTGCCTTTTGGTTACGTTAATTGCAAGACACACTGAAAGATACCTCTGTTTGTATCGATTCAGTTTTTGTAGATATTTTGTAAACTACAAAAGAGATGTTCCTAGTGCTAAAATAGTTAACCTGCGTACAAGGCTCTCGGCGAAAAGCCTGTAGCAAGCATCTGAGAGGACAGACGCCATGTCTTTCTCTCGCGTGACTTCTCACTTGTGCGTGCTAGGTTTAATTACTCGCGCCCAGTTGACTTTGAAAGCGTGTTACCTAGTTAAGTGTAAACATTCATCTAAAACTTCATATCTTTTATCGAAGGCCAAGCAAAGATACTGCTCTAGAGAAGTTCAAACTAGCCATGAGCTCACCTATTACCAAGTTCTTCCAGGCTATCCCACAGTATCAATGATGAAATGTGGACTCCTTCAGCCGTGTTGGCGCTTGACGAAAGCGTAGAAATACAGGATTTCAGACCAGCGAGAGGAAGTGTCCAGGATCCAATTCAAGTCTTCAGTGCATGCATTAATAGCCTCGCTGATGCTGTAAAAAAAGCCCAGGATTACACATTTGGAATCCCAAGTAGATTGTTGGGAAAAATGCTCCTTTCCTGAAAAATCTGAATTTTTTCAAAAAGCTGAGGAAGCGTACCAGCTGGTGTGCGATGTCATGCCTCCAAGAGATGGTAAAGCGTTATTCCAAGCGGTCGTAGACCATGAACAGAAGTGCAAGACAGCTATTGATATTGGCCTTCAAACCCTTATAGTCGCCTATCAGAACGCTCCCACAAAATCACTTAAGACTCAAATAATGAGTATTTATGCTGATAGATTCTCAGCCAACGAGCGTAAACGCATACATCAGCAATTTGAAAACCTCTCTGATAGACAAATAAAGAAGGCAAGAACACAGGCGAAAAGTGAGGGGCCTGGAGCGCCTATTGAAAAAATCCCGCGTCATAGAATCCATATACAACAGCGTCAGCTAAATCACTTCTAAGAGTTCACTATGAGGCTATATTACTATCAAGACGTAGCCTACGATACTCGCACCATAAAACTTGAGAACGGTGAAGAGTTTGTCATACCTAACGTGGTGCGAACAGTGGCCGAGTGCACCATCATTAATCAATAAATGGATCATCGAAAAGAAACTGGATTTCAACCGATAAGTAAATCTACGATGTGGAGAGTGCTAGAAGTTCAAGGGGCCACACAGGGGAAATCATTGCGGGGTCTACACAATACTGCAGCTGAGGGAGCGGATGGTTTTAAAGGGCATGTAAACCCATAAAACGTTCATTTTCTTTTCACATAGATGTTTAGTAAATATATCAAGTACACCAAAGATACCATTCGTTTTTTCTCAAAAGTCCATTTTCACTTCGTAAAATCTCTTCCAAATTCGAAACATTCGCCATCTTTCCTGTGACGTTACGGGTGGAACCTCCAAAGTTTCGTTTCATAATCGCGTGAGACACATAGGAGTCTTCTCCACAGCCGTTGTTTGCCGGTCTTGTCATGATTTTTTTACTTACAGTTTGCTTGAATATATTCAATTTTTTCATTATGGTGAAGAGCCGTGTCGTCCAGTTTTGTACTGATTAAAACAAAACTGGGCATACAATGCAAAGATTTCCAAATGACGCATATTTGAGGCGGCAATTTGTGAAATTTGTTCAAGTGAAAATAGCCGATTTCGTCGAGCCGTGCGAACATTCTGTTGTTTGTGGTATTCATTTTTCTTCCTGGTGCTGTACCAACGATTCAGGCCCTACCAAAAGAAAATTATTCAGAAGTATAAAAACGACCGATACAGTCGGTAGACGACGAGGATTTGGAAGTGGCCAACCGAACTGAGAAAGAAGTTGAGCTCTTCAAAAGTTAGAGGTCAACAGAGAAAGTACAAAATAGATTTACCTGGAGACCTTTCGTTAATTGAACAACAAAAGCTTGATTGGTTCTCTAAGGACATAATTTTTCTCATCTAATGAAAGATTATGGGGAAGCCAGTTGTTCGCAGGCGCGTAGCGTGGTCATTTTTTCAAGTGCGCACAAGTACATATGATCTAGAAACCTGAGTAAACTGAGCGAAAAATACTGCGTTCTTTATTTCTTGTTCAAAATAGTTGTGTGAATACAAGAAAAGAACAAAGCGTCTTGCCCTTATTTTGAGCAAACTTGGCGCAAACACAACATTGTTTTGGCTGTGGATCCTCGAGCATGCGCTCAGCAGCGCTTTTCGTTTTATAGTACAGTTATCATTTATAAGTAAAGAGCGAGGCGTCTTTCTTTGTGCTGTGCACACTGGTCGAGCACACTCTCAACACCGATTTCTTTTTCCTGTGGATGTGAAATATTTCTAACGATGAAAAGCGATGGTCGGCCATCGTGTTTCGTAGTGGAGTCTCCAACCTTTTCATCGAACTAAAGCTGCGCTCAGCAGCGCATGCCGACACAGGATACGTCAAGAGCGTGTTTACTGATACATAGATTCCTGGGTAGAATCCAGCATTAGCTACATCTAGAGTTTCGACCAACGTCTGTAGGAGAGGATCGGTTGGCTCCCTGATAGGCCAGCGGTACCTTCATCTGTTCACTTCGAGTGTGAACTCTTCCTAATCGATGGCCATATCACCACCGTAGTGCACATGGATCGGCTTCAATTTTTCCTCCGTCAACTGGCCAAGCTTTCCTATAACAGTAATCTGTGATTTATGTGCTAAACCACTGAGTGGTCAAATGAACATGATCCAAAAATTATTGTAGCCAATACAATGTCATTTACCTGGGATAAGTAGCTGAGCCTGGAAACCTGGTAGTGGCACCACAAGCTTTTCATTGATCTCTGTAACGAGGTGATCTAGGTGATCGCTCTCAACCATTGGCTTCCTAGTTCAGTTGAAAGTAGCGCCCGATTAATAGGGACCTTGGGCAAATCACGACGACGACGGCAACGAAGACGTGACAAAACAAAAGATCTAATGGGCAGAACAATAGCTCAGCACGTGTGTTTTAAAACTTTGTACATTCCTTGGCTGTCCTCTACAAAAAACAACGTGAAATTATCAAAATTTAGGCAAGTAATTTCAGTAATTTGGGAATTAACAGTTGTTGAGGTAGATTGCAAAATAATTCTTACTCTTATGAGAGCTAAAATTTTTCCTATGAATGCAAACCACGTTCAAACAAAACACCAGAAACAGCAATTTACATTCAAGTTCTTTAAAAAATCAAATTTGTTAGTCCTGAGTTTTTGCTCTGCAGGAGTCTGGGACGAGGCCTCCCATGATACATTGTAATCAGAAATCAATATGGCGTCTATATTGGAGAATTTTTGAAAGTTGGGCTTCGAAGATGTTTCCATGGAAAAATGTATGCACCATTTTACCAAAAGGTATTCCCTTAAGAGTTATCATCTTAAGACAGAGCTCTTCTGCTTCTCTGGTCTTTCGGAAGCAGGATCTCATCAAATATGGAGTCGGACGAGAAGACATGTTCACGTGCTCTAGTGCATTTCCAAGACCTCGACTTAGATTCTTCTCCGCGAAATCATCGCAAGATAAGAAAGAAAGTTCCGTTTTTCAAGAGTTAGTCGAATCACAAGAGCAGCCGCAAACACAGCTGACAGTTGGTGCTAAAGGTTAGCTCAAAATTTTAATCAACGTCAAAATGTTGTTGCCTTGAAATATAATTCTCTCCATTCCGCACCTCTTTCCCAACCCCCTGGTCTAAAAGGAGCGATCAAGGTAATAATCTTTATTTCAGAAAAAGGATTTCAAAGGAATCCATTAATTCCATTTTTGAGGCTGGATTTTGGCTTTTGGCGGAGTACCTTGGCCTAGAGGCTCTCAATATCATATCGTCATAACATAATTCTGTAGTATTGCCTTGGTAGTCAGGATAAAAACAACAGTTATAGAAATCCATACTTCTCTGTTAAAAAGTTTAACCACTACTAGGGACAATCCACGGGTCTCTAAATACAAGAGAAATCTCTCAATCTCCTGTCTAGGTCATAAAATCTCCCAAAGGGAAGTAAATTTGATCATCCTTTCCTGAAAAATAGTTCACTTTTACACCAGTTACTCCAGAAGACTTAGGCAGTCTAAGAAAAAAAATTTAGGTGAGGATTAGGGGATTCAAAATTAAATACCCCCTGATCTCAGATATCAAGAAGTTGCCATCTTTTGAACAGTCAGAAGCTTTTCCAAGTCTATTTTGAAAATTACAATTATGCAACAATAAACATACAATGTAACTGTAGAGAAACAGAAGAAATATTCCTCATAACTGGCTTTTGAGCTGCACCCTGTAGAGGGGAAAGAGGAAGAGGATGCATGTTAAAGAGAAAAGACAAGTATTTGGGGGAAGGGGGTCTGCCTATTTGAACGGAATGTGTACTCTTACTAGTGAAATTTTTTTTTGAAAAATTAGTCAGCTAAAATGTCTCTAATAGGAGACTGCACTCTCTTCTCTCATTCATTCTACATTCCCTTGTGTTGCTGTGTGTGATAGTAAAATTAGAATTACTTTATTTATTATTTATTTAATGTTCTTTCTTCTCTTTTGCTCCAGTTGTACAGGCTGGAAAAGATGTCAGCTACTTTGGTATTATTCTCATTGGATTTGCCATCACAGGTAGCTGTCAGTATAATCTGATTATCACTTTTACTCAGTAGTTTATCCAGACCTAAGGGGAATATAAAGGGTAAAGCTGTTGCTGTGGAATTAATAGTTGAGCATCTAGACTTGAGGATTGTACCTTTTGCTTATGCTCTTCCTATCTTATCAAACTTGCTAGAACTTTTCCCCTTCTAAATTTGTATTCAGTACAATACATCAGCTGGTTTTCAAGGTTAAGATGCAAGCTTTATGACTGAATCCTAATCGACAACAATATTTCTGCAAGCGAGTGGTCAAAATACAGGAGGGGGTGAAAGGGGGGGACTTATGAAAAATATCTTCATCCTTAGTTATTGTCCTTTTAACCTTTTAACCCCTAAGAGTGACTGGCATCTAATTTCTCCTTACCATATCACCCCTGAATCAAATATTAAGGTCAGGAGAATAAAGGAACTGATCACGTGTGAAAAAAGCTCTAGATTGTTCAACAAATTCTCCTTTTCAGCACCTTAGGAAATGTTTAGAGAATGTTAAAGAGGATATACATACTGATGTTAGGGTGGAAAGGGTTAAAAAGTTGGGTTTGTGCTGTGGGGGGCTTGAAACACAGTGCATATTCTTTTTTTCAGGTATTTTAATTTGGTTCGTGGTGAGTGAGTTGTTTTTTGGCTTCAGTGCAAATAAAGTTTACGCTAAAGCTCTTAAAAAGGTCAAAGCAAGTGCAGAGGTGAGGAATGAAAAACTTGGCTTGAGTGAACTGTACATAACTTAAAAACCACCACTAAGAAGCATAGACCCTTTATCAGCATCTTAAAATCTTTGTTACATTTCTCAGTTAGAACAATTGTTATGTCACCATGTTATTCTAAGAGGGTTTAATGTTTAGGGCATAACCACTCAAAAAAATACTAAATATTTTCCTCCATTCAGGAGTTCAGGTAAATTGGTGGTCATTCCTGTCAACCCACTATTAAATCAGGACTCCAGACAACTTATAACTGTTGGCTAGCTTTTTTAGTTCTGTAGGTTCATGGGTCCTAATTTTCAGATAATTACTGATCTTATGGCCTCTCAATACAGGTAATTGAAGCAATTGGAGAACCAATAATGGGACATGGAGAGACAAGTTCAAGAGGAAGAAGAAGACATGTTAGGTACTTATTGTATTCTGTCAGATACTTTGAGCTCAGAATGATGAAAATACAAAATTTTGAAATGGGATTTGAATCAGCAGAAGATTCACAAAAATATTGCCAGTGTGGTTTTTCAGGAAGATAGTATTTTCATAAGCAGCAATGTGCATTTGCTGGAGCATCAGGTAACCAGTGACCACTCACTGGTAGCTTTTATCCACCTTGCCCATGTATTGTGTGCATGTTCACGTAAGTAGAAACTGGTCAAGACTAAAACATGGTTCTTTCTTGAACTCTTATACCTCTCTTTCACTCTGATTTTGGGTTTTTTGACTGATTTTCCTTCGTAACAGTAGGAAATACTGTACAGTGGCCTTGGCATTAGCACACTGGATTCTGTTTCAAAACTTCTAAGTTTAAGCCATGGCAGGGGTAATTTTTTCAAGTTCAAGGGCACGGCACTTTATGGTCCTACTTCCTCTATCCACTCAGGAGTATTACGAGATGTTTGTAAACGGTCTGGAAAACCTTAAGAATTACTTGCAATGGGTAATTTGGGATGGACTCATATTCATCCACCCATCCATGGCTAGTTGCAATACTTCGAGTTTCTGTAAGCTGCAGGCACAGGGGAATACTCTGGCAGTTTTGTGAGTCAGTCATTTTTACTCTTTTTATACTTTCACATTGAGTTTTTTTTATTCTTACAGCTACCAAGAATATTTAGTGGATGGTGAGAACTACATGAGAGTCAAGTTTTATGTGTCGGGACCCAAACGGAAAGGAACTGTTCATGTTGATGTGAAAGAGGTAACTTGAATTTCTAGTTTTGAGAAGCAGGTGGCTGAGTGTTGAAAGCAGAATTGCAGAACTCTTGCTTCTGTTAGGTCATACTCTGTGATTGGTCTAGGAGTCTCAGTGTCCTGGCAGGTGCTGTGGCGGACTCCATATCATAGGTCTGGGTTTAAACCCTAGTGTGTTATTTTGTGGTGTTCTTGAGGAATAGTGTTTCCTCTCCCGATACCTCTCTCCATCCAGGGGTGTAAGTGAGTAATAGAAAACTTCCAGGGAAAAGTAATACATTTCCAAGAGGTTACCTGCGGCGAAGAACTAACATCCTTTTTTAGGTTTATTTGCCGTAATCCAAGTCGTTTGATGCTCATGAAACCAGAGTAATGTTAACCGGATTGGCCAATGTTCTAACTTTTGGTGTTGGGTTTACAATCCTCAAGTAGAGAGCGCTCAAGCAATAATAGCAGTTTTAAATGACTGATTCTGACCATCAGAATCAGTGACACGCATCAACTCATCGTCTGCCCCCTTCCCTTGTAACCTGAGCTTGTAAAATGCACTCGACATGTAGTTAGCACTGGCTTGTTCCACTGGGCACTCAGTCAGCGGAGAGATGCGAAAGAGTGGCAAGCGACAAACAGCGGTTACTTCTTCTTTGCGTGATCCTCGACATTTTTCGCGCGCTTGCTTTCTGGCTTATTTCTGCTGACTGAGATCCTGGCACAGTTTAAGTTTGCACGAGAACGGATATAAGTGTTCATTTTCATCTTTTTCGGTTCCAGGGATCACGAGGGGGCTTTGACTATCGCTTCATCTTCATTGAACTCTCTGGATCACCTGCTGAGACTATCATAGTGTTGGATAATCGATGAGGTGTTCCCTGCAAAAAAACAAACATATCCAAGTGTGTGATGACAACCAACAAATTGAGCAACTTATAGTAAATCATCTTTAGCCGGCTGAGTGATACGTGGGCCGTGACGTATGTAATGTTGGTCAACGTCATGGAACTAAACAGGCTTACAATCTTATTAGACGTGCTGGTTTCTTTCATTTATTTTTGTATGACGTCCACGAATAGCAAAAATGGATAAACATGAAAAAATGATAAGCGTTTTCCCCTTTTAAATTAGTTATAAACGCCGAAATAAAAAACAAAGCAAACAAATAAATAAACGAATGAAAGTGTGAGCAAAGTGGGACAGGTAGCAAGCCTAGAACTGCCATGAGATCAACCATCTCCACCAGTTTATCACCAGTCTCCTTTCGTTTCTGTTGAATTGCACTTGTCATTTCCGTGTTAGTATTGCTCTCAACACCAAGCTGAAGTCCGGCTCTCAGACTAATTATAATTGTATCCGGTCGCTTCGTGCTCACGGTTGTTTCCTGCCCATTGGTCTCGTACCCAAACTCAGTCGATTCGAACCCAAATTCAAGTCGGTTCGTACACAAACCGCTGATCGATTCGTACATTTATTTTTTATACTCGTGTGTGTCTAATATTTTTTCTCCAGTTGTCAACATGAAAAACATACTTTATTAGTTTGGGTAGGAAACGACCGAGCTGGGTACGAAACGACTTAACTGAATGGAGCACTTTTTCTGTTCTTGTCGTTGTTATTTTTTCTTCACCGATGATTACTTTTTTAGATCAATAGTATAACCAACGCACCGGCGATAAATTTAAAAGGAGTTTATTTCCACGCCATTACCGGTGGTTTCTAAATAAAGTATTGCGAACATAGTACATCAAGTTCCGACTAATTACAAGATCGGAAGTAACATAGGAAATACAAATAACAAGAAATATGTTTAAAGGCAATACTAATAACACAAGGAACACGGGAAACTCGACGAAAGAGCAATTTACCAGACAATTTTTGAAATACGGCTGAAAAACGTACTTGCGAATACCTTGATGCGAGTTCACACTTCTCTTATTTGCAAGATCCGCGCGAAAATTCAAAGCTAAATAGATGGCTGCGCGGCCTGGGGCTAGGGGGGATTGGTTTTTACAAATAGGATAGTTTATTACTCGCAGATCAGAGTATCTTTTCTAGACTTTTCCACGATTTTAATCAAATTCGTCAAAGCAAAATCAGCTCGGCGGATGTGACGATTTTGACTAATTTTCGCTATTTTCTTTGATGCATGCATTTCTGGACATATCTCCGAGGTGGTGGAACAGCCACAGTTTAGAGCGTAATGAATTATTCTTTTCCTTGGTGAACGCATCCTTTTTAAGCAAGAGGAATACAAGCTTCCCGGTGAGAGAAATCAAACAGGATATTCTTTGTATGCCAAGCTTTACAGTATCGATGCAAACCTTTCGTCGGTTAAGTCCCAGATGAACTGATAATGAAATAAAGTCTAAGGTTGGTGTAAACGACTGAGATGATTAGTTGGTGAAGAGCAAGGAAATCATACCCCGAAGGTGCTTTGTAAATATGTACAATTTCATCAATACGAGAACCCTACAACAATGATAAAAATCGCTTGTCCAAATTGCGATAGCTTCAGGTCCCGGCTTAGTTTTAGTCGAATTAAAAGGCAGTTGCGCTTTTTAGGAAAACGGCTGCAAAACTGAACGTTGTCTACAGCGTGTTTTCGCTTTTGTTGTCTTGTCTTTCCTTTTTCGCATAAGAGAAAAGAAGAGCATAAGGACGATCGTGCAGCGCACTGGAAAGCCTCCGCGCCGAAGAACATTCGCCTCACATTTTTTCTTTTCCTGACTCCGTTGCTTTTCACTCGCCGGATCAGCTTAAAGTCAAGCAGGCTTTGTTTAACGATTAACAATGACCGTATATGGCTACTTTGGAACAATGGCGGAAACGCCTTTAAAATATAAGCGGGATTTTTCAAAATTTCCGATTATCATACGAGCGGCAGATTTAAACCATCGGCAAAACTGATGATGAGACAAATCCTCCCCTAGAATGCAAATAGTTACGGTGGGGTGGATGGTGGGGCGACTGTAGCTTTCGTATCTGAAGTAAAGAGATGTCACTGTTTTTTCCTTTATATTGCTTAAAACTGGCGAAAGACATATTCAATTAGAGGCTCACTGCGCGATACAAAGGTGATGAGAGCATGTGTAACCTGGTATTAACGTCCGAAGCCTACCACGCCGTTGAATCATGTAGAAGACTATCGTCATTTGCTCGATTGTTTAACGTGCGTGCATTTAAATTTCGCACCGACATCTAATTGATACCTATTCATCCTTTTGTGTGATAGCAGGAGGTGAGATTTCGCATAGTCATGTTCTGCTAGTTTCTTTCTCTTTTTTTTGCTCAACAGGTTACGTGTATTCAATCACTTCACTGACGTTGTCACATTCATCTACCAAATTTTAGGGCAATCAAATTTCGCGCTACGAAAGTTATCCTATTTTCTTAGTTTGCATAAAGCGCTGCGCAATCGCCTCCCATAATTTTCTTCCGCGCTGTAAACCGCCTTCTAACAGAAACTCAATTGAAATCCTATCGTGACAATGTAACGTTGAGGTGCTTTGAAAACACTAGACAAAATTAAAAACAGGTAATTAATTAAGTGTTAACAACTGAGTTAAAAATGTAAACTGGCCACCGTAAAGAGTAAAAAAGCTGACGTTTCGAGTGTTAGCCCTTCGCCAATCGCTTAAATTACCTGCTATACTCTCCCACTCTTTTCTCGTCTTCTTAAAGCGATGAAAAAAAAATCACACCTTCGTTAGATGCCACGCGCGAGGTAAAAGACAAGAGGAACAAATAAAAAGTGATAACAAACACGCTCTGCGAAAGCCTCGAAGAACTTACTTTCAGCAGTATTTCATTCTAAGAACATTTCTAGAATTCAGTTTTGACAGTTTTTAGAAAAGTCTTGTACGAGCAAGATCTGCTTTTCTTTTTTTAAAAGTAGAACGGTCACCCCAACTTCAAGCAGTCTCAAAGTACTTAAATGAATGACGACAACAACGCTTTTTTCAACAAAAGTTTCTAGATTTATTCTCGCTTCATCAACTATGGTTTGGTTACATTAACATAACATAAGTGCAGCCTTACATTAGGGATTTGGTTGATTAAGCATTGCGACAATCCTATAAAAGACCTAACAGAAGAACAGATGACTAGTTCACGTTTATCTAGGCGAGAGAAATGTTCTCAAAGTTTAAGGTTACGTCCGTGTCTAGCGCGTTTACAACGCACTTACCACTTATTGAAGTTTACGAAGCTGAAATCAGGAGACTGAGAGGCGAAAATGAGTTTTTAAGACATCAGAACAACTCCTTGGTCGTCCAGCTAAATGACGCCCTATCCCAAGAACGCAAAAAGGCATCGTTTCATGCCTAGCAAAAGCGATTCTTCGAGTTGACAAAGGCAGCCAGAAACAACAAAAAGAGGAGAAAAAACCTTGTGGTACAATCGCTAAAAGGACTCCAAAAGTTTGTTCCCATCGAGGTATGTTCGTTTTTACCTTATTTTTATATTCTTTGCTACACCGTTAGAGTTACTGATTGATTTTATTTCAATTATTAGTACGGTTACCTCCGCAATTAATTATCCAGCCACCGTTTCATCACGCTTGCATTCCCTCAGGTAGCCGAGTGTCACTCTACAAAAATTTGTTTTCCTTGAATATACATATTTCGACGAATTTTGGACTTAGACTCGTACTAAAATTATCGAAAACGTTTGGAGTAGAGAAAGTATTGAAAACCGATTATTTGAGACTTGAAACCGCAGTAGAGTGCACACGGATGACGACGGATATCTGAAAATCTAAACTCCGTGTAGGATTGTTAATAGTTAATTTATAAGTACTTGATCTAAACTTATCATTTGAGTGTATGGAATAAGTGCGCAAGACAGTTTTTAACTTGTAAAATTCCCTCTCAGTACTGTTTATTAACACATCCTTTGATCTGTTTCAGATCAAGTTAAACATACAAGGAGAGGAAATTGTTATTCCCCTTGGTTCTGTTGAGGAAGAAATACAGCTTCCTCTGGTAGAGACAACGCAGCATGTGCATGTTTACTGCAATAACTTAGGTTAAATATGTGGTGGTACGGAAGGCTCGCTATGACCACCCAACAGGTGGTATATGGTCGAGGTCCTCGACTTAAACGTTGAATTTGCTTCTACCTTGACCGAATACCGGTCACTTCGCAAACGTGTCACTTCGCAAACTGTCACTTCGCAAACGTCCTTTGTCACTTCGCAAACGCATCCAAGTCGATTCGCAAACGTCGTCGAATTATTTTTAAAAAGGTTGATATAACTTCATATTATGTTTCTTTACAATCTTTTATCGAAGAAAGTTATAAAATTAAGAAATAATGTAGTAAGTTTTATCAGCGTGAAAGCTTACTTTTGCCATTTTGGAAGCTCGGCAGGCATCCAACTTCTTGGAATCTTTTCAATAAATCTTATCTAACTCAGTGTCTCGAAGTGTCTCAATGTCTAGCTTGCTTTTTCATTATTTTCTATCCTTCTTATTGATGTCTTATCGTTACTGTGATCTTACATCAGACGATGACTTTCCTTACTCATGTGAATATAGTCATCGGGAGATCGGTACGTTTCGTTCGATGAAACGATTTGTTATCGATCGATCAGAATACCGGTCACTTCACCTGATTAAAAGTAACGTGATTCTCTTCTGTTGATTTTCGTTGATTCATATTACGTTTGCGAATCGACTGGGATGCGTTTGCGAATCGACTGAGGACGTTTGCGAACTGACAGTTTGCGAAGTGACACGTTTGCGAAGTGACCGGATACCCCTTGACCAATGGAGTGAAAAAGCTCCTCGAAGACCTTCTGGTCAACTGGAACCTTCACGGTTGTTCGTCTGACGTAACCTTTTTCCGGAGAAGTTCTCGTAGACAACTTCTGCCCAATCTCGCATACCAGATAATTTACTACTTTTTCCCTGGCTGGAATGAATAGAAGAGAACAAGTTTGAACAACAAAGAACTAAAAATAAAAACAAAGTTCATCCGTGCGATTAACTTACCTTGAAGTGATCATGCGGCGTAGTTTTTAATGGCACTGTTATCGTCCTCTTCTTTCACCAAGCTATCAGCTTTGCTCCCGTACCCTTTCCAAATCAACAGATATTCTCTATTGACCGTTCGCACAGCAAAAACTTTCGAAACTTGGTGATACTTCGGCATTTTAGCAAGACAGATGTATCCTTCATGAGTTCGTCGTAAGTGATAATGAATTTGCCTACTGAAACACTCTATTTACCATACAAATGCTAATTGTTTACCGTAGCGTAAATGCATAAGCCCAGCAAAAACTTAACACGCGAAAAAATCACACCCCTTGATTCGTTAAATGCCGCCCCGCTTGATTGAGAACAAACATAAAGTCCTTTCGTCCGCTTTCTACAAAGGGAATATTTGGGAAAACTGTTGATAGCTTTATAATTTTAATAGACTGTTAGAATCCGTCGTAAAACTATGGAAGTTCAAGCAAGACCTGTTTTTTTTTTCTCCGAAAGAGAATATAAAACAAACCAAAAAAAAAATACTCGCAACTCCTCCATTGTGAGACATGTGAGTAAAATGTCACACCCTCGTCTTGCCGCGCGTTTGATTGAAAACGATAATAACTCAAAAGAGATGTTCTCTCAAAAACTAGAGATAATTTCCTCGATCAGTACATCTTGTGTCATCAACATCGTTGTAAGAATTCTGTGCTTTTGTAAAACAGCAATCCACTTCTTAGGTAGACTTGGTGGTTCCAGAAAGTAAGCGTCTCATTAGAAAACAGCTGTGCTCCAACGCCTGCCCTCTGCGAAAATTTGGAGAAGCTGTTGACAGCTCCTTACCATTAACAAAGATTGCTAAAATCCGCTGTAAAACTCTGATAGTTTTTAATGAGAGAGACTTAATTTTAAGCAGGACCTGCTTTTTTTGCAAAAGATAAATGAAAAAAATTCGCACCTTCTTCATTGTGAGACTTGTGAGAGAAAAAATATCACACCCTCATCTTGCCACGCGTTTGATTGAAAACGAAAATAACTCAAAGACATGCTCTCGCAAAAACTAGAAATCATTGCTTTGATCAGTATATCTTGTATCATCAACATAGTTACACGAATTCGGCGCTTTTGCAAAGAAGGATCCTCGTGTTAGGTAAACATGTTGGTTCTAAAAATCATGAGCACCTCGTTTGAAAACAGCTGTGCGCCAGAAAAAAGGTCTTTAATCGCCTCGAGGCTCTCCACAGAAAACCGTCACGATTACCAGCCGCTGATCACCCTTCTCTCAGGGGGGAGCAAAGAGCCTACGTGAAGCTTATAGTCCCTGGCACAAGCTTCAATGGCGTGGTTGATGTGATATTTTTGCTTTTGACTCTTTAACTTTCAAGATCTCATTGGTAATTCGAAGAAATTCTCTGTACAGTCTGACATACAATTTAAACGATGTTGCTGGGGAGAATTTGGTATGGAATCAAGTAATCCCTTAATTGACATTTCCTTTTACCCTCATGATATTTCTGCTTGTTGTTGTATTGTGACTGTAAGGAGGTTGGGGGGTGAGAGAAACTACATCGAATTGGAAGCTTAATTTGTCGTGAAACACGAAATTATTAGATGAACAGAGTCGGGCCTCTCTCAAAAGTTAGGGATAACGCGCAGTGTAGCCAATAAATTTAGCCATGCTGTTTCCGGTGCCACTTCTCCAAATCCCTCAGCGTCTGTGCTCCGAGAAGTTAGTGCTCATAATTTTTTGTAAATTTACCCTAGAATCGTGAAATTAGCCCTATCGTTAAATGAAATCACCGAATGCCATTTTCACGCTGAATTATTGTGGTCATTGTTGATGTTTGTTTGTTTTTTAATGACTCTGACTTTCAAGAACCTTCGGCAGATAAAAGGTTTCGCTTTTTTCTGCAGTAACTAATTAGAGAATTCAAATGAGATCCGACAGACTTGAAAACCAGTCACTCCTTGTGCCATTGAAACATTTTAACTGAAACAAACCGTCCTAAATTGAAATTTTCGGTTGCAGTCATTTTTCAATTATCAACAGACGCTGTGCTCAGTTAAATGAATAACTGAATACATATTTTTAATCGTGAAAAGAAATATAGTCGTTTAACTCCAAAGTTTTCAGGTGAGAACTTCTTATTGGCAGACTTGCACACTGAATATATTGACATAACGTCGAATTATCCAACCAGATCATGACTATCAACCTGTCTTAGTTACAACATATTGAATTTATTATGGACGCCTTAAGAGTTACCAACAGACATTATGATACAGTCATTCCCCAGAATACAGTTATAGTTCCATACTAACTTTGTGTGCAACAACTCAAGTGAATATTGTACAGCAATTGCGCGCCATAATAATTTAAGTTTGAAAGTTTAAAACTAGCATCTCCATTCCTACAGAACTTCGAATTAATAAAAGACAATCTACATCACAGTGGAAATATTACAGAGGCTATTATCAAGATGAATCTGACGTTTCTCCAGAAGGAGCATCACCAATAGGCTGTTCGTCCTCCTCATTATCACTGTGAGACTTGTTATCACCGGAAGACGGGTCAACATTGGAACACGTGTCACTCCTGAAAAATAGTCGTAACTCTGAGACGTCTGAGACGCGTCACTCCCGGAAGCCTCACCAGAAATTTCATCATCGTCATCATCGTCATCAGCGTCATTAATAAACTGCTCGTCTTCACTATTTGGTGACTCACCGTCATTAGATGACGTGTCACCACTAGAACAAGTTTCACTCGTTGATTCATCACTGCAAGACTCGTTTCCACTAGAATAAATGCTATTCCCGGAATTGGAATCGTCATCACATATCTCATCTCCATCATCATGATCGGCACAACCGTCATTTTCCTGATGCCTTGTGACAGAAAGACGGCTTTGAACATGAGGAAGTACATGAGAATAATTGAAGATAATTCCAGACAAGTTCAAGTTCAATGAGATATTCACCGAAAGAGCCCCAGTGAGTGAAACAACTCCAGAATTATCAATCGCATTATCCCCTAAGTCCAAGTTTGTCAATGTGGTATTTTTTCTAAGGGCCTTAGAGAGAGAATTAGCACCAGTATTCCGAATGTCATTGTCACTCAAGTTCAAATCAGTCAAAGTTGAGTTGTTTGAAAGAGCTTTAGAAAGGGAAGTAGCACCAGTATTCCCAATTTTATTGGCACTCAAGTTCAAATCAGTCAAAGTTGAGTTGTTTGAAAGAGCTTTAGAAAGGGAAGTAGCACCAGTATTCCCAATTTTATTGGCACTCAAGTTCAAATCAGTCAAAGTTGAGTAGTTTGAAAGAGCTTTAGAAAGGGAAGTAGCACCAGTATTCCCAATTTTATTGGCACTCAAGTTCAAATCAGTCAAAGTTAAGTTGTTTGAAAGAGCTTCGGAAAGGGAAGTAGCACCAGTATTCCCAATTTCATTGTCACTCAAGTTCAAATCAGTCAAAGTTGAGTTGTTTGAAAGAGCTTCGGAAAGGGAAGTAGCACCAGTATTCCCAATGTCATTGTCACTCAAGTTCAAATCAGTCAAAGTTGAGTTGTTTGAAAGAGCTTTGGAAAGGGAAGTAGCACCAGTATTCCCAATGTCATTGGCACTCAAGTTTAAATCAGTCAAAGTTGAATTGTTTGAAAGAGCTTTAGAAAGGGAAGTAGCACCAGTAATCCCAATGTCATTGGCACTCAAGTCTAAATCCGTCAAAGTTGAATTGTTTGAAAGAGCTTTAGAAAGGGAAGTAGCACCAGAGTCAGAAATATGATTGAAACCTAAGTTTAGATTGGTCAATGTCCTGTTGCCTGAAATAGCCTCAGCGAGGGAAGCAGCACCAGGATCACTTATTTCGTTACCTCTCAGGTTCAAAATTGTCAAAGTGGTATTGGCTCTAAGACCTACAGAGAAGAACTTAGCACCATCGTGACCAATGTTATTAAAGACTCAGGTTTAAATTGGTTATACCTGAGTTGTCTGAGAGAGACTTAGACAAGGACTCGGCACCGGAGTCACAAATTACAAAGTTGCATAGGTTTAAGGTTGTCAGGGTGGTATTGCCTGAGAGATTTTCAAGAATAAGATTCAAGTGACGAGACCTCCTCAAAGATGAAGGTACGATTTCAAAGTGAGACCCAAATCACGGAGCAACAGGGGCTGGAGGCTTTTCTTGTACTTGGTACATTCCTTTATGAAAGAATATGCCGACTCCACTCTTCTATTGACTTCTTTGAATCCATCACAAGAAGTATCGAGGCTTAGCGAGTTGGCACGTTCAGTTATAGCACGCAAAAGATGTATTTCGCTCTCCTCAGACTTTGAGACCATAATCCCACCCCTGAAAAGGAAAACATGCCTCAATTTACGCAAAAATCTTGCGTCAGTTACATCAATGTCCAAATCAGTGTCTCCAGCAAGACTTTAGAAGCAAGGTAGAAACCAGCGAAAAATTCTTGAAAACTTTTGTGCGGAAATCCATAAATCCTTTCTTTCCTTGATATCTCCTCAAAACACACTGCGTAATTTCAATGTACAATTTTGCCTTGCTGGTTGGAAAATCTTCCTTAAAATCCTCACACAGAATGCAAAGCAAAGTTGTGTTAGAGGATTGGATATTAGTTTGCGCAAATCTGATCTTGACCGAATCTCTGTGAGAAGTCTCCCAGCCAGGTCTTTGTCCTTGCCAAAGTACTTGCGAATGAAACTTTCTGCGTCGTTTTTGGCGAATCCTACTATCTTCCACAGAGTATCACAAAGACGCCTAACTTCCTTACCAGACTCATGTCGAGATGTGAAAAGAACAAGGTAATTTGGAAGCAGTTTACTTTGAGCGAGTCTTACGAACAATTCTTGTTTGCTTTGGTCTGCTTCATCCAAGCCATCGAGCACCAACAAAACCCTGGACTGGTTTCCAAGAATAAACTTTTTAAAGTTTGACTTCGATTCTTCATCCAATTCATGGGTAAGAAGTTGGTCACTGATGGCTTCCCAAATGTCAGATTTGATATCTTGACATCTTAGCAGTAACAGCAGCTCAATTATTGGAAATGACTCCTCCCGGTTTTCCTAAGTAGTTGCCCAGTGATATGCCAGCTTTTGACAATATGTTGTCCATACCTGGGTCCCCTTCAATAAAAACGGTTCGTGGCTTTTCGCATTCTTCATGTGGTTTGAGGATGTTGAAGATCTCGTTTTTCATTTCTCCTCTGGTTTTATCTTTTCCCACTATTCGGAGCCTGGTGAAAATCTCATTCAGCTTGAAACTGAATTCTTCAACCCAAGGAACTGGCCGGAGTCGGTCCTCGTTGATTTTGTACAGCTGCCGAATCCTCTCAATCACATGGGTTGGCTCACAAATATCTACAAAAAGATACTTCTTTAATGTAGAGATTTGACATTTACGTTACTAAAGAATAAAATTTCTACATTTTCCAAAATAGTGGAATTGGATTCATCTTTTAACACAATTCTACGGTTCTATCATTACTAAGCTGATATAGTCACCATGAACACTACATGCGGAATATTTTGAGTCTGTAAGAGTATTAAAAAGACAAAGAGATGCTGCAATCGGTTTTTGTTAGACAGTGATATAAGAATATGCACACACAACAGGACCCCTCTGTTGGAATACCGGTACTTCATAGCACTTCTAAGTTTCTTTTTTTTCTTTTTTTTCTTTTTTTTTTTTGGGGGGGGAGGAGGGGGGCTTGAGCTTTGAAGTCCGATAAAGAACGTTTATTTACCCGCTGTGTGATTACTGTTTTAGACCTGAAGTACCTGAAAGGTGAGTATCTTGACTATGTGTGGATTTCATCTTCTTTGTAGCTTGAGTATTGGATGAAAAGGATGATTCTCTGTTTCTCTTTCTCTCCTGGAGAAAAGACGAATTTACAAGAGGAGAATAACGAACTTTACTTTGTCAATGCAATTACTCAGTGATAAAAATTGGCATATTCAAGCTCGTTACTATTATTATCCAACTGAAGTAATGAAAAGTGCAAAGATAAAATGCGACGGTCGCAACCATGAGAATTTTATCCTTTGATGTGTGATAGCGCTGCATATTTTAAGACTGGTGTGCTGTATTTTAATGAGTATTTCAGGTGATCGTTGGAACAAAACTTGTCAGAGGCACTTGAGACATAAATTTCTTCTCAGTATAAACTGCTTCCTGTCACCCCGCGGACTACACGCTCTCTGTCTCTCTTTTGTTACTATTTTTTTAAATGTTTTTCATTGTTAGTATTCAATAAATCGATTCGAATGTGACCAGACTAACGTAGACTACAAACTAACACGTTCTTTAGTGAATCGTGCCATTAGACAACGAGTAGTACTTCCTTTTCAGCGCGCGTCGGACTTTGCCGGAAATGAGGGACTGCTCGTAATCTATCGTGCAATAAGTAAACCCTCGAGAATATAAACTGCACTTTAAATTCTCTTGGAGAACCACATTCCTAATGTTAAAACATATCCATAACTATTGAGGTAATTGTCCTGTTACACCAAATTTTCACGACGATTTCTTTTGCCTTTATTTACACTTCTCACAAAAATAGAGCAAAATAAAGACGCTCTTGACTGACTCTCAGCCCGGTTATGTTCTTAGAACACTTTTAAAATATTAATTAATGTCAGGCTGAATGCTCTTATAAAAAAAGGTTCCTATAAAGTACCCTTCTTGTCCACTGCACAATACAAAATGTTATTCGGTATACCAAACCTATAAAAAAATTCAAATTGAGACATCCTATTTCAATTAGATAAATATCATAATGTCAAATTTCGATACCGCAGTCGGGCTTGTTACTTTGTTGCTTGAAAATTCAAGTTAGTTCCACTTTAGTTTCTTTACTTGTCATTCAAATCAATACTGCTGTTTATGCGTAATTCGCTTCCAGAATTACAATTTAATCTCCTAGATTTAAATACATTTACTCATTATCATTGATTCTATTATAATTGTCTATGATCATAGAAATTATTATCATTACCAGCATTATTATTATTGTTATTATTATCATTTTTATTATCATTATCTTAGGGTGATACCTCAGTTTTGCACCACGCATCCTGTATTGCACATAAAAATCACGTAATCAGAGAAATGAGCGCGCGCGCATTCCGAGGACACAGTATTGTTTTTCAATCCATGGACCAGAGGTAGAAATAACATGTGACGATCGCAATCATGTCAATTTTATCCTTTTAAGTGTGGTATCGCTGAGTATTTTTACAACTGAAGTGCAAAATCTTAAGGAGCATTTCAGGTGATCGTAGGAGCAAAACTTGTCAGAGGCACTACTTATACAAATCTCTTTGGCATAGACTGCTTCCTGTCTCCCTACGGACTGCACATTTTTTTTCATAAATCTCCTTATTATAGGGGGCTGAGGCCGAACGATCTCAATCTTTTTTTCAGATTTGAGCCTGAAAACGTTCTTAACACGTTCTTAAAGCTGTGTGGTATAGTATTTCAAGAAATCAATTTGGACGCCACCAGACTAAGTTCGACTTCAAACTGACATGTCATTTAGTGAATCGTGCCAGTAGACTACGATCAGTCCCTCCTTTTCAGCGAAGTCCGTCGAGGAAGTAAAAAAAAAAAAAAGGAAAAAAAAGTGAGAAAATAATTAACAGGTTAGCGCGCCGCGGGGAGCGCCTCACTCCTAGACCTTCCCGCAGCGTCTTAAAATCAAACTTTACATTTGTTTTACCTTTAATTATACTTCTCAAAAAATAAAATTGAGAAAAATAAGGACGTTCTCGACTGACTCTCAGCCTAGGTATGTTCTCAGTATGTTCTCAAAAAATTGGTTTATTTCAGTCTGTACGCTCTTATAAAAAAAGGTTCTTATAACAAAAAAGTGGTTATCGTAATGAAGTACCCCCGTGTCCACTGCAAAACATACTGTTATTCAGTACACAAAATCTAAACATAAAAATATAAAATGATATCCTATTTAAATGAAACAATTACATAAATACTATAATCTCAAATTTCGAAATCGAAATTCTTAATTTAAATGCGTCGTTTTAATTAGGATTAAGGAAGCAGAATTGAAACTGTTTGAAAATTAAAGTTAGTTCTATTTTCGTTTCTGTACTTTTCAGTCAATCAATGCTAATTCGCGACCAGAATTACAATGTACCTTCCTGGATCCAAAAAAAATTTACCCTTTATTATTGACACTTTTATGAGCGCTTTGATTATAACAATTATTATCATTACCAACATTATTATTATCATTATTATCATCATTATCATTATTATCATTATTATCATTATTATCATTATTATCATTATTATCATTATTATCATTATTATCATTATTATCATTATTATCATTATTATCATTATTATCATTATTATCATTATTATCATTATTATCATTATTATCATTATTATCATTATTATCATTATTATCATTATTATCATTATTATCATCATCATCATCATCATTTTAAATGACGTGAAAAATTATGTAAACGGTGGGATGTTTTACTGCATACCATTCACAATGTGGATCATCTTCTTAATAAGAGCTTTACATTGTGTGGACCAGCTGTATTTCTCGTCGTAGGAGGTACGTAGGTCTTTAGCCTCCAAAAGTCGGGTCTTTCTTTTTTTTCCTCCAGACGTTCTTGATCGCTTCTGCCCATACCTTCGGAATCTTCGGAATCAATGACGCAAGAGGCACCAAACGGTACTTCACTTAGGGCTTCACCAAATCCAGCATGCCAAAGGCAGGCCCAAAAGAAGAAAGAAAGAGTACTATTCTGTCAAGAAAAAAATAATCCTTTGGGAAAGCGACTGGTGTTGGCGGAGCTCCACACTGGCGTAAGAAGTCGCGAACGAGGTTCTTTTATTTATTGCAAGTAAACAGTCCCTTCGAATCATAACTTTGAAAGCTGTCTGTCGATTCGTTGTCTTGCTTCTTAGCACATTTTCCGGTTTTTTCCATTTTTGCCGTGGGTTTTTCCTTTGCCTTTGGCAACTTTTCCCATCATTGTGTTGTCCTCCTAAACGCTCCACTGAATGATTGAGATGAAAAAATGGGTCTGCAATGGATTATTTTTCCTGGGAAATCTTGATCTATCGTTATTAGTGCCAGAAGGTCCCGTTGTCCTATTGGTTTGTGGTTTCAGGAGGCGAGATAATCTCCTTGTGTGGTGCGAGATGTTTGCGAACCTTAATGAGCTAAACTCTCGCATTTGATATTGGGAGGAATACAACCACTCTGAGGAATTCATAGGGTATTTAGATTTGACCGATTTTCGTCAAATTTCGCCAAAACTTTCCAGGAATGATGAAAAACGAAAGAATGTCGGGAAATTGTGATATTTGAAATATTTGTTCCGTGGCGTCCATTTACGCAACACGTCTTGCATATGTTTAGTTACTCCAACTTTAGATGCCGATATCTAGACAACCAATCAGAATATCGAAAAAGCCTGACACATGAAGTTGATGGTGCCTTGTGAAAAAGACGGTGGAACCATTTTGCTCGTGCTGCGACATCCGATCTCCGATAGTTTAAATAAAAGCACTCTCGACCGTTTCACACCTTACCGGCTCCTGACACTTCTTTTAGGAAAAGTCGCTCAAATAATATTTTTATTGTGAACTGCAGTTAAATAGCTTTCTCTTTATGTATAGTTCGCTGGGATTTTAGGAAAACTAGCGCGCGTACGAATTTTTCCCCGAAGGAAACCCGCGAAGGTGGGAAGTAACCTTTATTGATGGTTAAATACATAAATTACATTGCATCAATTAAATATATAAATTACGTAATAACATCAACTTTTAATGACTTTGATGGGTTTTCGAGTGAGAATTATTCTTTTTGGTAAAACGCTTCGAGTTATCCCTCTCGCACTGAATTTCCATTCTAAGTAAACAAGCTTTTGGACAGCCCTTGATTCCTTATCACCTTGATCTTAAGGCTTGCTACTGAGATTCAACTTATTTGGAAAAATTAAGTCAAAATTGAAGAAGAAAGTAAGTTTTAATTCAAATCATCTTTTTATGTTGTATTGTTTAATTGCCCGAAATGCAATTCGTTCCCCTTATTCCCTACGATAATCGACAATGTACTTTCCCCGGTAAATAGGGTGTTACCAATTAAAATCTCGAGCTACGAAGAAACGTTTGAAAAAAATCAAATTTCTATAACTGATTAACAGAATAGAGAAAACAAAATAGATAAGCACACGAAAAGTAGCCGCGCCAGCCGCAAATGATTTCTTGCTGGCGTCAAACTCTTCTAGCAGAGCGACTGTTTCTTCAGTAGCATAATTTGGCTCAATCATCTGCGATGGCAGTGTAAATTGGCCATCGTAGAGGGAGGTAGACGAGAGGCTAACACTCAAAATGTCATTTTTAGAATCTCTTTACGATAGCCAATTCACATTATCAAACACAGTTAATAAATCTTGTAAATACCCCCCACCGACGCAATACCAGGTTTTTTTTTAAAACTTACCCCGCTTTTCTTACAAAGCCATGGCAACTGTCAAAACTTCCGCGAGCCTTAAAAATGCTAATTTGCTGCATTGCTCGAGTCTCATTGATAACCATGTGGTTCCGCCTCTGATTTCGTGAATCTTTGTATTCAATTTTTGATTTGCTAATCATTCTCATTTGGTGAATGAAATTTTACAGAGTAGCCTTAACCTTATAAAGTTTACTTTCTCTTCTTCACTAAACTTTACTGCATACCTCGATCTCGATAATTTTGATCAATACGCCAGAGTTAGGGTCAACTTGTGGATTATCGCAGACGAAATTTGCGATATTGTATCCGCCTATTTACTATCTTTCGGGCATCTCACCAAAATTACGTTTTGAAGGTAAACCCCATCATTTTCTTTTTTCATGGTACAAGTTGTAAGTTTATAAAATTTCGAAATTACTTGTATTTGTGTAAGCATCAAGTGATCATCCATTGCAACAATTAAATCATCACGCTCGTAAAGTTTTTGCCATGTGAGAAGTCAAGCTTGATTTCCAGAGAGATGAAATTCCGATAACATTACTTGCAGAAACGGATAAGCAGCAGTACTGAATGAATAAAACTTACAAGAGTTTTATCCTTTACACAAAAACATGATGCACTTATGATGAAATTTAATTCTTTGTACGGTTTAAACTGATCGCGCTTGCTAAACTAAGAACAAATTTTACGACACTTGTCTCGCGAACAACCTGATTAAACTTCACCCTTACGCAATTTTGATGATTTCCAATAATACAAGCAGCTTAATGAAAATACAATCTCAACACATCAATAACTGTCTGCCAAAACTGCAAAGTTCGAAAATCAGTTTGTTGATGCATCACCCAAGCACTTGCTAACCGATCCTCATTTGAAGACTTAACTTTGTACTAACTGCAGCTGTGATCGGCTAAATCACATTTAAAGGAGCCGAGCCTCGCAAAGCAAAACCGTTAGATCTGTTGGGTTATCTTCATAATGTTTTGGTATAATTATAAAGTGAACTCACCCACGTAGAGAACGATGTCTATCGATGTCGATCCACCAGAAATTGCGATATCAACAGGCAACTTACAAATAAATCTAACTTACTTATGTTAGCCAAACATGATTCCTATTAAGCTGAAAGTATTGACAGTTCATAGCTACAAACCTGAATTAAGAATGCTCCGGTGAACCATATTCAGCAATTTGGCTTTATTGTTACCGAAATCGAAAGAGGCAGTTATATTGTGGGGCGCCCACAGGTACGTGTAATGACGTCATCAGATTAAGTTATTTGTAGTGTAGCTCCAGGACAGGACTTCTCTGTTTAAAAGCCAGGCTTAGTTACGCAGTGTAGTAAGATAATTTTGCGGGCTTATTTTCGCGGATATTGCGTATTGCCCTCAATCCACAAGGAAGGTAGGCAAGAGGTAGGCATCCCTGGAGGTAGATCTGTCAGTACTATCAAATTTGACAAAAATCCAGGTTCCAGTAAAATATTCAATGTTCAGAGTGACAGGAGCAGTACTACCAGGAACTAGTAGTAAAGGGGGTAAGTTTCTGAATAAACTGTGGTGCTGCAACGGTGGGTGAGTATAACAGGGTAATTCAGTATCATCAACTGAGTTGATCACGTAAATTGTTCACTGTAAAGACTTTCAAGCTAATGTTTTAAGTGTTAGTCCCTGTTTACTCTGAAGGGCTTACACTCCAAATATTAGCTTTAATTGAAACTCCCTATGGTGGCCAATTTTCATTTTCAACTCAGTTGATAATGTAAAATTAATAGAATCTAGATTGAGATAGATAACAAAAAAATCAAGATTGCCTTCAAATCTGGTTAAAAGCAACGTTGGTTTTCACTCCCCCACCCCACCCCTCTACTTATTTTTGACCATTGCCACCCCCTTGGTACAAGTTTCTTTCTCTCTCCAGCCTTCCGCTACCATTAAAATCAAAGTTGGTGGTCATAATTTTTGTTAAGAAAATACTGACCAGTCACTTGCCAAAATTATGCTTGCCCTGCAGGCTACAGAAAAGTTAGTTAGACATAGTTACTGATATCAGACAATAAACAACGCTAAACAGTAAGCCAAAACTCACTTCTTGGATTCTCCAGTTAGAGGACTCAAGTTCTTGAGATTACTTAATTATTAATAAGATCTTTTGAGAGCAAACTTCAAAATAAAAGGTAGCTTCCCACAAATGGGCTGCAACAAAAGTCATTGCAGAAAAAGGAGTCTGAAAAATTCAGTTAGGCACTTTATTTAGTATTAGGGACCTTATTCAAGGACAAAGTTATGATTTATTCTATATATAACTTTTGTGATAAAATTTCACAGTTAAGTGAAAACAACTTAAACCAGTCACTTTAGCATTAGGGACCCAAGGCAGTCCTGGTGACAGTGCATCATGATACCAGACCCTATAAGTGATGTACCTGGTAAATATCGCTATCAAAGCCCCAAGAACTTTCTGATGAACAGTGTGAAAATAAATTGTCGTGAACACAAGCATGAACTCCCAAAAGATTGACAGGAGGCCTGCAAAGAAGGAAAAAACTTCTAAAAAATGTGTTACTAGTCGAGCCGGACACGCGATTGTTCGTTTGTTTGTTTGTTTGTTTGTTTTTGTATGCGCCAGGCGTACCCCCATGTGGGGACTGGAACGAATAATAAAGCGTTGAGTTGTGAGCACATGGAAAATGTCTGAAGTTTGTCTTAAACCAGGACCCTGATAGAATTTCCCACGCCTAGGAATCTCCATAGTGGTCCTTCTAGCGCCGGATACAGGAGAATCAAATCTGGTTTTGGATTATACATACGTAGAATCGAAGCATGGCGGAGAAATCGGCGAAATCGCACGTGGAAGTGTCAGATGTGGACGAGCGAAGTGAAATCGTTACAAGTGAAAGGAATCTGCCGCGGTATTTGAGCGATTACACCGAAGTCCCCGGTCAAAACAAACTCCAGACAATCAAG